TAAGCCACACGATATGACAAGCACGCGCTGTGTCATGACAGGGACTTCATCTTCCGACAATCACAGTGCGCTCCTACTCGCGGCCAGTTTTCTTAACACATGCAAGCAACCATGCTTCCCAAGCTCCCTCGCCCCATGCAACCCACACACGCACACACATGCACATGCACATGCACGCAAATCCGCTTTACACACCCCCTCGGCCCATGCAATCCATGCACGCATGCCCGCACCCCCAGTTTACTTGCCCCGCCCCTCGCCCCATGCAACCAACGCACACATGCAAGCACTTCCGCTTTACGCGCCGCCTTACCCCATGCAACCAACACACTCACGCATGCACGCACCCTCGCTTTACTCGCCCCCTCGCCCCATGCAACACACGCACGGGCAATCGCAGTACGCTCCGCCTCGCGGCCAGTTATCTCGACACACGCAAGCAACCATGCTTCACAAGCCCTCTCGCCCCATGCAACCCACACACGCATGCATGCAAGCACTCCCGCTCTACACGCCCCGTCACCCCGTGCAACACACATATGCACGCATGCACGCACCCCGCTTTACTCGCACCCTTGGCCCATGCAACCCACTCACGCATGCACGCACCCCCACTTTATGTGCCCGTCCGCCCAATGCAATCCACACTCACACGCATGCAAGCACCATAGCTTTACGCGCCCCCTCACTCCACGCAACCCACGCCCGCAGGCATGCATGCATTCCCGCTCACTCGCCCCCTCGCCCCATGCAACCAATACACGCACCCCCGCTTTACTCGCCCCCTAGCGCAATGTAACCCACGCGTGCACGCATGCACGCACCCCTGCTTTACTCGCCCCCTTGCCCCGTGCAACCCGCGCAGCACGCATGCACACCCCCCCGCTTTACTCGCCCCCTCGCCCAATGCAACCCACATATGAACGCATGCAAGCATCTCCGCTCCCTCGCCATATGCAACCCACACTCGCACGCATGCAAGCACCCGTAGCTTTACGCGCCCTCTCCCCCATGCAACCCACGCCAGCAGACATGCATGCATTCCCGCTCTACTCGCGCCCTTGGCCCATGAAACCCACGCACGCATGCACGCACCCCCACACTACGCGCCCTCCTGCCCAACGTAATCCACACTCGCACGCATGCAAGCACCCGTAGCTTTACGCGCCCCCTCACCCCATGCAACCCACGCCACCAGCCATGTAATCATTTCCGCTTAATCGCACCTTTGGCCCATGCAACCCACGCACGCATGCACACACCCCCACATTACTTGCCCTCCTGCCCAACGCAATCCACACTCGGGCGCATGCAAGCACCGTAGCTTCACGCGCCCCCTCGCCACATGCAACCCATACACGCACCCCCGTTTTACTCGCCCCCTTGCCCCATGCAACCCGTGCACGCACGCATGCACCCCCTCTAATACTCGCTCCCTCGCCCCATGCAACCCACAAATGAACGCATGCAAGCATCTCCGCATTACTCGCGCCCTCACCCCATGCAAACCACACTCGCACAGATGCAAGCACCCGTAGTTTTACGCGCCCTCTCCCCCATGCAACCCACGCCAGCAGACATGCATGCATTCCCGGATTACTCGCACCCTTGGCCCATGCAACCCACGCACGCATGCACGCACCCCCACATTACGCGCCCTCCTGCCCAACGCAATCCACACTCACACGCATGGAAGCACCGTAGCTTCACGTGTCCCCTCACTCCATGCAACCCACGACAGCGGACATGCATGCGTTTCCGTTGACTCGCCCCCTCGCCCCATGCAACTCATACACGCACCCCCGCTTTACTAGCCCCCTAGCGCAATGTAACCCACGCGTGCACGCATGCACGCACCCCTGCTTTACTCGCCCCCTTGCCCCGTGCAACCCGCGCAGCACGCATGCACACACCCCCGCTTTACTCGCCCCCTCGCCCAATGCAACCCACATATGAACGCATGCAAGCATCTCCGCCCCCTCGCCACATGCAACCCACACTCGCACGTACGCATGCAAGCACCCGTAGCTTTACGCGCCCTCTCCCCCATGCAACCCACGCCAGCAGACATGCATGCATTCCCGCTCTACTCGCGCCCTTGGCCCATGCAACCCACGCACGCATGCACGCACCCCCACACTACGCGCTCTCCTGCCCAACGTAATCCACACTCGCACGCATGCAAGCACCCGTAGCTTTACGCGCCCCCTCACTCCACGCAACCCACGCCCGCAGACATGCATGCATTCCCGCTCACTCGCCCCCTCGCCCCATGCAACTCATACACGCACCCCCGCTTTACTCGCCCCCTTGCCTCATGCAACCCGTGCACGCACGCATGCACCCCCTCTAATACTAGCCCCCTCGCCCCATGCAACTCACACAGGCACGCATTTAAGCACCTCTGCTTTACTTGCCCCCTCACCCCATGCAACCCACACTCGCACGCATGCAAGCACCCGTAGCTTTACGCGCTCCCTCGCCCCATGCAACCCACGCCCGCAGACATGCATGCATTCCCGCTTTACTCGCGCCCTTGGCCCATGCAACCCACGCACGCATGCATGCACCCCCACTTTACTCGCCCCCTAGCACCGTGCAACCCACGCATGTAAGCAACTCCGCTTTACTCACCCCCTTATCCCATGCAACCCATGCACACACGCATGCAAAGCAACCCCGCTGTACACACCCCCTCGGCCTATGCAATCCACACACGCATGCCCGCACCCCTGCTTTACTTGCCCCGCTCTTTGCCCCATGCAACCCACACACGCATGCAAGCCACCCCGCTTTACTGGTAGGGCCGCCATGTGAGCGTGTTCATTTTAAGGCGTCTTGAATGCACGTGTGCAGCAAGCAACACGGGTGGCATGCTGGGCGATACGATGTGGGCCTGACATTTCCACAGCCCTACTAACGAATGCAGTTCAGCCCGATTTGCAGATAGATAATAAAGGACTAGCAAAGCTGGTAATAGTAAGGCGCGATAATCTAAAGTTGGCAAACAAGGCCCTCCGAAAAAAGGACATCCTACGTCCGTTTTTAGTACGACAATTGTCACTACTTGCCTTTTTACTCCAGCGACAGTGTCGGGTTGCCGCGAAAACAAAACGGTACGCACTCATATATCTGCCAGGGCTTAAGTACAGACGATTGAAAGGCAAAACGGACCCGAGCATACTGCGATGCCAAAGCAACTTTCGACAACCACTAACCCACGTCCGAACCAAGCTATTCTGCATAGCATTTATGATGTCTGAACTTATGATGTATTAATTGAGCTGTTAGCAGGACGATAACGTTGTCTTAGGTTGACTGATGTACGTATCGCGAAAGGCCACAACACGTTATCAAAATGAAGCATTTGAACTTGCCATGTGGCGCCTGAGCCATGTAGGAGACCCTCGCTAAAGAGCACCGCAGGCGAGTGCGACTACATCCCGACTTCAAGCAAGGAGTCGACTCGACTTGCACACGGATACAACGAAGTATAACCAGCCATGTAGACACCCTGACATCCTGACGCTAACAGAAGCCGGTTGGCCATCTAAGGTGGAACTCGTAAGATGCTATGATAGTAAATCGAAGCAAAGTAAACGGGGAAGCCAGCTTGAAGTAGTGCATAACTATTTCTTTGTCTATGAATAGCGGTACCTTCGCTTACTGCAAAAGAAGAGAGGGAAGCCGAGTAGTAGGAGGTACGGCATGTGAGCGAGGGCGAGTGGAAGGCCACCGCATGTTTGATGGCGCGTGCGTGGAGCGTAGCTTGATAGAGGGTGAGTCGGACAAAGGTGGCAAGCGACAGGGCGATTGGGTGGGGCGCTGTGCGCAATATAGAGAGCAAGCTGGAGGCATATACGGGAAGGCAGCATGGGGAAACAACACCCCCCCAAACCCCACCACAGCCCACAACCCAAGTTGCGACGGCCCCCCCCTGGCACGCCCCGCCATGTCCGTGTGTCCGTGTGTCCGTCCGTGTGTCCGTCCGTGTGTCCGTAACGGCAAAACATACAAACTCGACAAAACTATTTATTGCACCTAATAGATATTTGTTATCTGTATTCAGTAAAAATAACTGGAAGCCAAACAAACTTAATTTCGCAACAAACGATTTATTGACCAGCCATTCAAAAGGACCACCGCGGCAACACCGATTAGCGCTCCTCTATGGTTTGTCCTGGTACCGTAAACAGTATTTAATGAATTGGAAACAGCGGCGTGTCGCCAAAGGGCTACCTGTGAAAGTCGGCGAGAGCATGCTTGCGTGCATCGACTGTGCTACGCTGAGCCCACCTCCTTTGAGACGATGTTGCCGGCCTTTGTTATTCGTTTCTGCGCCATAATGCCTATGAACTGTAACGCAAACAGGTACCTCGCCTAGAAGATAACAGCGATGCTCCGGTGCAATTGCCGAAGTCCTTAGGAGCACGATGCCGACATTGCCGAGCCTGACCTCCTCATCATGTTAGTAATGTAGGCGAAACCTAAACGACCTGGGGGACCCTGATAAGCACTCCCATGTGGCAGTTACGCCGTCGATTTGGGTTCTGTAGCCTAATGCGTGGTTGTTATCAAGCATGATAAGACGTTACTGAGTACTCGATTGAACAGGTGTAACCTAACAATGAGTGGCAAACCGCCTGCCAATTGCCAATCGCTACTAGACATTGCCTTCACCGGACTTCATCTACTACGGCCTTCTATTTGAATACTTTATCCAACGCTTCTATCGCTAAAAAGGGCTTTCTGAAATTGTAATTAACTAAGCTGAATCGCAAGATACAGAAAGTGTCACTAATTTGCAAGGCTTCGCTCTCTGAAAAGCACCAGTCATAACCTTTACATATACTGAGATGAATTGTGTTTGTAGGATAAGGAACGGTTGTCTCCTGGCTATTCCCGTCCTGGGTGGCCGTACATTTTCGCTGGCGGTGAACGGGGGGGTAGCGGCGGTCATGCCAATGAGTGCAATGAGTGAGGACACTATGTACGCCATGGCGGCCGGCCTCGGCTGGACAAGGGGCTCTAAGCTCGTCTAGCCATGCAACGAACACTCTAACTACAGTAAACAAGGGGGTTAAGCGTCCGTATAACAAGGTGTGTTAAGTCAACTGGTGCCGTGGAGTCACAGGAGCGCATGCCGTGCCATTCCAGGTCTATAAGGCCCTGAGTCGTTCGGACTCCCCTGTACTAATCGCATTCATTCCAGTGGTAATAATACGTTCCTGTACTCAATAGGAGGGGCTCCGCCCTTTTCCAGCTTTGAGGAAGCTGAACCCCCTTGTCGTGAGGAGATAGCCCTCTGCCCTCAACCCCTCATGAGTATCTCGTCCCATAGGGCCTTTTATGATTGCCACCTTATTGATAGATTCTTCTTCGTCAATAGGCTCCAAGAAATGGCAGATATGCTTTATGAGTAAGCCCATACCCCGTCTCTATCGGCGTCGGGCAGGACCGGGTTATCAGTCCCTGGCCAGCGGAAGACCACTATGGCGCATTTACGCCTGAGTTTTTTGACTTTCTTACTTCTTGTCGGCCTCTTTACGCTTACCGGTGAGTGACCGCCCAGGAGTAGTACAGCCAGGCGCCCGCGTAACGGCGCATGTCCGAGCGACAGACAAATGACGACTGCCCGGAGATAGCCTTGTCCTCATGGGCTGAGGGAGAAGATGTATTCATAAATATGTACATGAAACCTGTAGTTTTACTCGTAGCCTTATTTCGGCACGGACTCAACCCCAGCAGCTACCAAGATTCGCTGCAAAGGCGTATTAGGGCCTTTGGCGTTGGCTGCCAACTAGCCAAAATGACAGAAGTAAACAATGCTTAAATACCTTCTTTTCCGTTCCTTCCTCTTCCTGCGCAGTTGCTGTGCGCTCACCAAGCCCCAAGCCACCCAGTTCGCCAAAGCCACCCAGTCCACCGCGCCCCCAGCCGCCCAGTCCGCCAAAGCCACCCAGCCCACCAAAGCCGCCCCGGCCTCCAAAACCGCCCGGGCCTCCGAGGCCACCCCGGCCCCCACCAAACCCCAAGCCCCCGCCGCATCCCAAGCCCCCACCACCTCCGAAGCCTTTCCGCCCACCCCTTCCATCTCCCCCTGCTTCTACTGACGTCCAGATTAACATCACCGTTCAAGGTAGGGTGTGTGCTGCTCCTCAACCACCTCATTGCCAGCGACATCCATCACTCCATTAGCTGCTTAGCTCGGTACCGCAACCACCGCACATTTGGACTTCAACCAACCCGTCCAACAGCCAACTATAGCAACCACTTGTAGATACATGCCTGCTGGCACGTCTGCAAGCCCGCTATGTCCCCTGCTCTCGCTCATCAATCGCAGGTGATGTGCTGGTTACTGCGGTTGACCCGATTAAGGGCGCCACTGCTGCCAACTCCTCCTCCGCGCTCCTGCAACCCGGCCTCCTGTACCACCTAACGGACAAGCTGGCGGATGGCACCCCCGTCTCCATCCAGCTCAGCTTCGACCAGCCGCCGGCGCTGATCACCGGAGACGTGGTGGCCATTCCGCTAACTATCACCGTGCCTTCGGACGTTGGTGAGAAAGGCTGCGTCATACCGGTGTACATGTGCATACATGCATTGTGGCATGTTCAGCGTACCGTATGTGTTCATGCCTCGTGCGTATATTCTAGTCCTTTGACTCTAGGTCCTGGCAAGACCTCTGCGACTACCCTATACTTGTCATCACAGTACCACCGTGGATATACCACCGTCCCGACCCAGAAACCCAACCCCAGCCCCCCCTCCTTCCATCCATCCCCCGCTCTACCTGCTGTCCCCTCTGTCGCTATCACACCGTCCAGCCGCCAACATCACCGGCAGCCCCCGTCGGCACCTGTTGAGTCAGCATCTGAACTACCTTGCGGCGGGTGCGATCACCGCTAGCCGCCGCCCGCTGCCCAGTACCGGTAGAGATGCTGGCGGTGATGACGCCGCGGAGGCTGCTCGCAGGCGCTACCTGGCTGCGACGGTGGACCCCCTCCGCAGTCTCATCAGCTCGCTGGGTGGCGCCGCGGGCGGGCTGGTGGCGCAGGCACAGAGCGGGGCGACGTTCCTTAGCAGCAACACGGCCAAGGTGTGTAGGTGGTGCGATGAGGGGGTGGCGGCCTGTATGAGTTCAGGGCTTCAGGCTAGTGCTTGAGTTGCCTGAAGGGTTGCTGTGGGAGTGGGGCTTTAGGTTGCTAGCTGACAAGAGAGGGCTTCAGGCCTGAGTGCTTGTTGGCGTGAAGCCACAAAACAGCTACCGCTTGGTAGGTGCGTGGGTGACGGGCGCAAATGGCAGCAGCAGCAGCAAGAATCATGCCTAGGACGCCGGCGAGCGAGCCTCACTGCTTCCCTGTTTTGGCACACAGCTGGGACCTGGCTCACGCTCATACGCTGCGGGCTGAAGCCGTTGCAGCCTAACCTGCTGGGATATGAAGCTCCCTGCCTGGTTACCGACTTCAAAAATGTCTTCAGCACTCCAGACCCACCTGCTGTCCATGCGGTAAGATAGCCGGTAGTGCTCATGCGGTGGTGGACCCGCCCGCTTCCGCAGGACTTGTTCATCACGAACGGCGTGCCCCAGAACGTCTCCTCGCTTACCTTCTTGTTCCGGAGCAGCAAGTGCGGCATCCGCACCGCCATGGACCTGGCCCGCCTCAAGGACAACTGGTACGACCAGGGGGACGACGCGGCCTACGTGGCGACCATGGAGCGGTACCACAAGGTAGGGCAGGGCAGGGAACGGACCCCTGGCGGCATGCATTAGGCTGGCAACCTAGCAGGTGGGAATAGCAGCGGGGCACTAGAATGAACAAGGAATGTGAGGCATAGCGGGCCACTAGTAGGAATATAGCTGATGAAGACAGCAAAGGATAGGTGGTTGCCGCTTGCATGCATGACTTGCACGTACGGCACACGACAACCTCCTCCTTAGTACGTTGCGCGGCGCTCTGCAGGCAGAAGCAACGTAGCTGAGGTGACAGTTATCGAGGGGTCTTCCGGTACTACTTTAAGCGTAGTGCTCGAAAGTACTGAAGGCAGCGCTTGCTTGTCCGTATGCAATTAATCGCAGGTCTGTTCGTACAACCAGTTGCTCTTCCCGCCGTCACTAAACCTGGTGTTCGAGGTGGACATCAATTGCAAGGGCACGATACCTGTAAAGGGCGTGTACGACCTGATTAACGGCAAGGGCAACGGTGTCAACTTGGACAATGAACTCTACGCGCTTGCCTACCTGGGCAAGCAGTACATCCAAGCCGTAAGTCACAACCTGACAGAAGGGCCCTGAGCTAGATGTATGGTGCCTAGCGAGGGCTGCCCTTACATGCCGACCAAGTGTGCATGGGTAGTAGCACACTGGCACTTCCCACTTTGCCTAATAACTGACAGAGTGTCCGGCATGCTACGCACATTCCATCCGTTGCACATCCACACCCAATGCCTTGTCGTCGCTCACCCTGCTGTCGCTTCCCTGCCCGCAGAACTACCCGGACGTCTACAGCCGCTGGAGCTCCTACCGGCGCAAGATTCACTTCTGGCCCTTCAACTACGGCAGGACGCCTGATCAGTGGATCATGTATGCCTCGGGACTGGTAGGTTCGTTATCTCCTCATCTCCGTTTCGTCATTTCTCTTTGAAGGCCTTCCCCCGACAGGGGTGTGAAGGGTAAAGGGCCTTATGTCCGATTGCTCTGACGACCCATTAATGAAACACACCGCCAACCGCCCGTGCATATCACCCCTGCCTGGGTGTCATGGCTTATGCCAGTGCATCAAGCACATGAGGAGCAGGACTATCCCATCCATGGGCTAACCAACAGCAGACGTTATCGGCATGTATGGCTGCCCGCGCCGCTGCTCCCGTTCGCAGAGTTCCGTGGGCTGCAATGTGGCCGCGGACTGCAATGTCTGGATGAACCCCAGCGAGTTTGACACCAAGCCCGATATGGCCAATGTCTTCCACGAATTGGGTGCGTACTTGGAAAGTACTCGAGTGTAGCTAGGTGGGATGGTTGGGTGCCGTGTGAGGGCGGGTGGCCACTGCATACATTAGTACTAACTGCCGGTTTGCATGTGTGCAGGTCACAGCATAGGCCTCCTGCATTCCGACACCTGGCAATGCGATGCCGCCACTGGAAAGTGCGAGAAGGTCGAGTACGGTGATATGTCGGACCCTATGGCTATTGCTGACCAGATCAACCCGGATACCACGATCACATGCATGTCAGCGCCGCAGGTGGGTTGGGTGGGTGATTGGGTGATGCGAGTTTCCTGGCTAGTAGGCAGCCGCAGAGCCGCTTGCTTGCTTAGCTCGCCTTTACTGGTACCAAGGCCTACAGCCCTTCTTCCATCGAGCCTCGGATGCATTGCCTTTTCTGACTCATCTCCATGTGCATGCGTGTGTGTGGTCTGGCTGTTCCGTTTATCCTCCGCCCATTGCTTCCTGCTAACCCTCTCGCCTTAACCCAACAAAACGCCTGCTGTTGCTGTAACTGCCAATCACTAACTGTCATATGCATGTAGGTGTACAAGACGGGTTGGGGCTCGCCAATGGATGGTGGGGAGTTCAAGGTGTCGCAGTTGGACGTGGGCGTGTCCAAGCGCTACGTGCTCCCCGCCATGGCCCTCACGAAGAATAACATGCTGCGCATTGTGATCGACCAAACCGGCGTTGTATACAACGATGTCACCAAGCCGGAACGTGCTGTATACGTGTCGTACAGGTGCGTGCGCGGAGCGGTTGGTTCCCAAGCTAGCCTCCCATGGGATTGAGTATGGGCAGTGCGTTACCAAAAGACAGCCCGCCGGTGCTTAAGCTCTGCTCGCACGGTGACGCGACTCATGGGTCAATGCGTGCCCCATGGTCCTGTGCGTGCCTTGTCATGCTTGCAGGGCACGACAGCCACAGATTGGCGTGGATGATTCCGGACTTCGAGATGACCTAAACAAGCGTGTCTGGTGAGTCATCAGAGGCGGTACACGCCGTACTACCGTATGCTGCCGATCGGCCTTCACTTAGCTTGTTTCCTTATGGTACTAATGAAAGCGAATGACTTTGTGCGAGCGCAGGATCCACCAGTACGATGACATCGCAAACTCCCTGCCAGCAGCAAACAACCCGCTCCTGGTCGCCGTACTGTCGGACGAGCCAGATCAGAGCTACGACGTGTGGGGTGTGCTGCCAAACAGGGTCTTCCTCACCAACGCAGTCAGCCCCGCCGGCCCGGGCGGCCTCCTCATCAAGATGGTCGGCAAGTCGGATGCAGATGCCACGGTGGACTTGTGCGTGTTTGCGGCGAAAGCAGAGCGGGACCTACCCGGCGGCTGCGATAACGGTGTGGATGACGATTGGTGAGTGGGGCTGTCGCATGGTTGCCGGGTAGGTGAGCAGGGAGAAATGCATTTGGAAGGCCATGATGAGGCCTAGACAATCGTGGCAGGTAGGTGGGTGGGTTGTTGCCCGGTTGTGTGTGGGAGCATGGTGGCTGTGTAGTTTTGTTTCCTGCTGTGGCTGTGTCATGCCATGATGGTTGCGCCCCTGCCTCTCGCTCACGCCTTTTCCCAAACAGTGACGGGCTGTCGGATGGTGAGGATCCGGACTGCACGGGTGGTGGCGACGACCCTGCCCCTGTCAACTCCCCACCGCCACCACAACCGCCGCCGCCTTCGCCGCCGCCGCCGTCTCCGCCGCCTCCAAAGTCATCACCGCCTCCCCCACCCCGGCCCCCGCCGCCCTTACCACCGCCTCCTCCGCTTCGCTCGCCTCTTCCGCCTTCGCCGGCCCCACCGTCGCCTCCCCCACCAGTGCCGCCCCCGCCTACTCCTCCTCCTCCCCGGCCACCGCCTCCGCCTTCCCCTCCGCCCCCATCACCTACTCCGCCTCCGCCACCCCCACCGTCTCCTCCTCCGCCTTCTCCCTCTCCTCCACTTCCACCACCACCGTCTCCGCCTCCCCCACCCTCGCCGCCTCCACCCTCTCCGCCTCTCCCGCCCCCGCCCTCGCCTCCTCCACCCTCTCCGCCTCCCCCGCCTTCGCCTCCCCCACCCTCTCCGCCTCCCCCACCCTCGCCTCGTCCACCCTCTCCGCCTCCCCCACCCTCGCCTCCTCCACCCTCACCGCCTCCCCTTCCCTCGCCTCCTCCGCCATCACCACCGCCACCGCCTTCCCCGCCCCCGCCATCCCCGCCCCCGCCGTCTCCTCCTCCGCCTTCCCCACCCCCACCTTCCCCTCCGCCCCCATCGCCTCCTCCGCCTTCCCCGCCCCCCCCTTCGCCGCCGCCCCCGTCTCCACCCCCACCCTCTCCTCCCCCACCGTCTCCGCCTCCGCCTTCCCCTTTGCCTCCATCACCTCCACCATCACTCTCTCCTGTGAATCAGTCGCCGCCCCCATTACCTTCCCCGCCAAGGCCACCTCCACCCTCACCTCCCCCACCTTCGCCTCCCCCGCCTTCACCTCCCCCACCTTCGCCTCCTCCACCACTGCCTCCTCCGCCTTCGCCTCCCCCGCCTTCACCTTCCCCACCTTCACTTCCCCCGCCTTCTCCTCCCCCACCTTCTCCCCCTCCCCCACCTTCTCCTCCTCCCCCATCACCTCCCCCGCCTCCATCACCTAACCCACCGCCGCCGCCTTCACCTCCCCCTCCGTCACCTCCCCCACCAAAACCGCCGCCTCCATCGCCACCACCACCGCTGCCCCAACCCCCACCTCCATCACCACCATCTCCCTTGCAATGGGCCGCACCGCCTTCGCCGCCACCACCCCAGCCACCACCACCATTCCCTCCGCCGCCAAAGCCACCGCCACCGTCCCCTCCCCCGCCACAGCCACCGCCCCCCTCACCGCCACCACCTTCTCCGTCCCCGCCGTCGCCTCCCCCACCGAACCCGCCGCCTCCTTCGCCCCCTCCGCCGCGCCCACCCTCAACACCTCCACCCACATCTCCGCCCTCATTATCCCCGCCCCCACCGCCGTCTCCTCCTCCACGACCTCCCTCGCCGTTGCCTCCGCCCCCGAAACCCCTCTCACCCTCACCGCCTCCGCCACCCCCGCCGCCTCGTGGCGTCAGGAAAAAGCCGCCACCACCGCCGGCGGTGCCAGCGCAGATGCAGCCGCCACCGCCTCCCCCCCTGCAGCCGCCACCGCTACAGCCGCCACCGCTGCAGCCGCCACCGCCACAACTTCCTCCTCCGCCTCCTCCTTCCTTATCTCCGCCCCCGCCAGCCAAAAAGAAGAAACCGCCACCACCTAAGGCGGCTGGTTAAGAGGGGAGTATACTTAGGTGTGTGACGTTGAGAAAGAGCTGTATGGGCTTTCGTGAACCTATCTATTTTGACGTGTCATAGTGTTTTTGGACGTGCATGCAAGCAGCTGGCAGCGCAGGGTTATGGCTCCCTAATGCAGGGTCCGTGCGATGCTTTTGTTGACATGTGCGGAGTTAGAGGATTGTGCCGTGGAAGATGTCATTCATGTTGACGATAACAGCGCATGTTCGGTTGGGGTGTCCCATCTGCGTGTTACCTTGCCTAACCCACCCCATGCCGTGTTGTGCGATACATGACGTATGCGGGTCTTACGAGGGTACGTAGATGACGGTTAAGACGCATCGAGGGACGTCCATTGGCCGAATGCACGAAGCGGGGGAGGCGCGTGTAACGGGGTTGTACGGCATGCAGCGCGTGTTCGTACCGTGCGTATATTTTAACCTTAGAAATCTTGCGAATGAAGTAGTAGCTAGCTCGTGTCCCATCGGCGACGTGGGTGGTCCTGACCTGTGCGTGCATATACACGGAGCTGCAGTGCCTGCCCTTGCTTCATGCCTTTGGATGCCGCCACTGGTTGCCAGTGTGTAGCATAAACAGTTAGGATGGACACCTTACCTGTGCGTCGTTAGAGTAGTCTTGTTGATATGCACATCATTCTTTTGTTGCACCCTACTTTGGGGCGGGGCCATTTGCCCTTTACTGATGGAAAACGTGTTCGTAGGGAGGTGATGCATGCCTAGCTAGGGTGGAGCTGCCGTACAATCATGGCGCAATTACCGTCGTACATATGCACCAAGAGCAGCGCCAAGGAGGAAGGAAGGCACGTCATTGCATACCTGTTGCCGGTGTGCTTGTCCTGCAGTCGGTGGCCGTCTTCACTAGCTTGCAATCAATGTTACACCGTTTCTTCTATGTTGTGTGGACATGCATGTGCAATTTGTCTGTAACCGGTTCTCCTCGCTGTCATGCGCCTTTCCATTATTGCGGCAGCATTCAAGGGGTTGACGACAGAACAGCAACCTTAACGGGTTTGGTAAACGCGCAGCAACCTGCATGCATGGGCTTGATGACCATATTATTATTGTTCCTTGTCAGTAATCAGCTAGGGCTGAGCAAGCATCAGAGCCTCAAGCGGCGCTAGACGCCCACAGGCAGCATTGCGCGCACCTCTCCGCCCGCCGGTTGGGCGTGGGCGTGTAAAGTGGCTGCCCAGTGCCTACCGCGCACACCGGTAGAGGGCCGCATGCAGCAGCGTCCAGCAGCACCGTCGGGTGTTCCTTGCTTGCACCCTGGAAGTCAACAAGCGCATGTGCGCATTCCAGATAGACACTAAAGATCACTGCAAGCCGTCGCGCGACGGTTGAACGTGCGTACGCGCACGCTTTAGGGCTTACCAGCCGACAACCAGCCTCTATTAAAGCTAATTATAACTTCGCAGTGAAAAGCATCTGAGTGATGCTGAGGTGGAGAACGGGCATCCAACGGACTGCTGAATTTGAAAGGTTGCCTGAACAGCTTTGGAACAGCCGGCGAAGTGTACAAGAACAACCCTCTATTTTAATCCCCAGGGCCCCGTTATTTCACAGAGTGTCCGGAACCGTGTTTAGCTGCGGGCGGCAAAAGGGCTCGTGAAACCGCAAGTCAGACCGCTCGTCAGACTTTACCGGTATTGGTTACGGGCCCTATGCCCGAGGAAGATAATTTCGGCAGCAGCACCATGGGACGAACATCTCTTCGGTTTTTGTACGCCTGGTTCAAGTTTACACGCATTATCTCGACCTTTCGTCCTTGCATTGAAAGCTGTGCTATCCATCCCAGTCATAGCGTATTATTTTTACTGGGAAGTTGGAGGTTACCTATATTCACTACTTGGACTTACCTTGTGATACGCCACATGTTGGAAGGGGGCTCCTGGTGTTCGCTGTCAACGTTCGCGCTTTGACGACACTCGGCCATCCATTCCTACACTGCTGCAGCCTTCGCACCCCCATGGCGCGTTCAGAGCTCCAACTTGCGGCCGTAATGGTGTTTATCTGGCTGCTTGCGGATTTTGGTGGGTTAAATTGCCCTTCACCACGACCGCCCTTGCATGCTGCTGCCGGCATGCATGTCCCAGGAAGTCAGCAGAGACCGGTCTGGAAGCCCCATCTATTACCACCGACCCTTAACAATTACACGTACTCTGTATATTACTAGTAGTCTTTACATGAAGACTGTCAGCGTATCGTGGCGTGCTTGCTTGGGGTGATTCTTGCATGGATAAGCATCTCCACGACTTGGCTCAAGCAATCCTACCAAACGATTCAACATGTATGACTGAGCATTCATTTTGATGGCTACATTCCTGATTCCTGTTCGTGCCACAGGTGTCCAAGCGCAACCACTGATGGATGTGCAAGTTAGCGTCCCCGTCAAAGGTATGCCTTGATACCTGCTTGCTCCTTTTCGCAGCAGTACATTGTGAAAGCACGGCGTCTGCAGCCGCGCGCCGAATATCACGGCGGAAACCTCTCATGCGCCAGTCTTCTGTGAGCATTCCGCCAAGAATTATAGCCGTGGGGTGCCAGTGGACGTTGACGGTTGTCCCGCCTGCTGTAATTGTCCCCGTGTGCAGGCGAGTTCGTTATGTACTACGTCGAGCCGTTCAAAACCAAACCACGAGCGGCCGCCAGCTCCAAACCCGCGCTCCTGCAGCCCGGCCTCATGTACCAACTGATCGACCGGCTTAGCGACGGCACTCCGGTTTCAATTACACTCAACTTCGACAAGCCACCGTCGCTGAAGACTGGAGATGTGGTGGCGATTCCGCTAACGATTACCATTCCTTCAACTGTTGGTAAGCGGGGCGTGCGACACGCTCACATACACTTGTGTGCTTGCTCTTGTTTCCGCTCAACTATACGCTTGTGTGAGGCGGCATGTGGGGGGGCTGGCAACTGTGGGACTTACCATGCTCCATGCAGCATTTCCAATACTGCTGCCTGCCTCCTACGGGTATGCGCATGCCGCTGTTGTTCCTTCTACCATCCTAAGCCATCGCCGCCCCCCCGTACGAACCCGCCTCCGCTGTATGCCCGGCTGCCCTGTCCAACCACCCTACCGCTGTGCCTTCACCAAACCAGCCGCCAAGGTAACCGGTGGCGCTCCTGCTCCCAGCGGCATCCGTCGGCTTCTTAGGGGAAGCTCGAGTTCCCGGGTAGGAGCAGGGTCTGCTGCCGGCGCGCCGCAGGATGAGGAGGCGCGTCGGCGGTTCCTGGCTGATACCGCCCTGCCCCTCAGCAGCCTTGTCAGCACGCTGGGCAGCAGCGGTGGGCTGATGAGCGTTAAGGTCACTGGCGCCGCCACGGTTTTAAGCAGTACGCTTGTAAAGGTTGGTTGCAGCGCTATCCGTAAATGGGTCAGTGGATGGGATGAGTATGCGACCCATGGGTCGCTGCGGTTGCCTGCGGCTGATATGGGTGCCAAAGCGAGTGGGGCACCCAAGCCTATGCATAAGGTCAAGCTTGGAATAGCGGTGATGTGTGCTCCAGTTTGCATTCTGCATGGGCTAACACTCATGCTGAATGCAAGACGTTAACACTTTACCTGCCCCGTGCAGGGTGGTGGCTTGACGCTAGGCGGCACACCAAAGAACGTTTCCTCAATTACCTTCCTGTTCAAGAGCACCAACTGCGAGTACGGCAGCATCAGCACACCCAACATGGACCTGGCCCGCCTCAAGGAGAACTGGTATGACCAGGGGGACGACGCGGCCTACGTAGCAACGCTGGAACGACACCATAAGGTAGGTGCAGGAATGCATGAAAGCGCGACATTGTACGGAAGCTAGCATGATGGCAGCCGTGAATGCGCACCGCATCCGCAATGCCCCGTGGCATTGCTGTGTACGAAGCTTAGATGGTGCCTACTAACTGTACGTGTAACATGCGCATAAGGTGCAACGTGATGTGCATTCTGCTGACGGCGCTCGTACGTGCAACTGCTGGTTGCAGGTCTGTTCATTCAACCAGTTGCTCTTCCCTCCGGAGCTTAACCCGGTGTTCGAGGTCGACATTGCTTGCAAGGGCACGATTCCCGGCAAGGGTCCGTACGACCTAATGTACGGCAAGGGCAACGGTGTCGACTTGGACAATGAACTCTACGCGCTTGCCTATCTGGGCAAGCAGTACGTTCAACAGGTGTGTCGTACTGTCGCACGGCCTGCTGTCTTGCAGTTGCCTCCATTACATTTGGATACGCATTCTGGTATTGAGTCCTACGCGATGAATAGCTGTCTGCTGCCTCTAGGTCTTCTGATAGTCTCTTTTGAATGCTTGCCTGACAGCAAGCTAGATACCACATACACTGGGAACTCAACAACAGCACCTTCACGCACCTTCTACTGTGTCGTACCTCCTATCAACGGTATCATGCAGAATTACCCCAGCCTGTACCGGCAATGGGACACCATCTTTGCGCGGAGGGTTTTCTTCTGGCCCTTCAACTTCGGCAAAGACTACTTCATCCTTGGTGGTTCCGGCTTGGTACGTCATCAGTGCGTGTGTATTGACAGGTTGTGTAAGCTAAGGGTCGGGCGCATGTGGCATTAACCAATGCTGCATTCTTTCTTGTCAGCCATGCGCTGCGGCATGAAGACCCAGAGCGCTTCTGCAAGCCTTCGCTGCGACCCCACCCCTATGCAGGCCCCCATTGGCTGCGGCACAGCGTGCAACATCTACATGAACCCCAGCGAGTTTGATACCAAGCCGGACATGCCAAACGTCTTCCACGAATTCGGTACGTAGGCAGATTATTGGGAACTGCTGCTTGCCTAGATGTAGGGGTTCTTGGGGTTAACATGAGATCCGTGTCCAGGTGTGGTGTGGTGCGTTCCGGCCCCGCGCAATCGAGCATGCATGGGGGCCGCAACCTGCGCACGCGCATGGCCCATAACTACTAGATGCACCTACCTTGCATGCATGCGTACACAATGATTGTCAGCCCAATCACTTGTCTTGCATGCTGCGTTCCGTACATAAATGACCGGCACAGGATTGGTTCCGCAAGTAGAGAGTGCACATGCTTCGCCGTGTCTTGAACCCGCTCCCAGCTAGCGGCTGATGTATGTGCTGTCGACATCCAGGCCATACGTACGGTCTACAGCACTCCAAGATGGGCCTACCCGATCCAAATGACAAATGCAATTACGACACTTTACTCGAGACGTCGGACCCGATGGGCATTGCCGATCAGCTAGATGTCGACAAGACGATAACCTGCATGTCAGCGCCGCAGGTGAGCTGCGTAGAGAGGTGGACAGCGTACAGGACGGAATAGAGTTGGGGAAAGCATGTCCTAAAATGGCTCGTGTTAGCACTTTGGGCCACTGTCGATTGCCCTATTAACCTGCACGTACGGTTTGGGCTCGAGCATGGATGAGACCGTCATCGCCACGGGACGCGGTTATTTCTCTTGAATACATACCGGCACTTCTGACAGCAGGAACCATACATGTCGCCTCCCTGCCTGCTCCCAATCCACACCTTCTTCTGTATGTGTTCCATGGCCCACAGGTGTACAAGGCGGGGTGGGGTTCGCCGCTGGTCGGGGGTTCCCTCAACATTGCGGACCTAGGCGTGGGTGTGTCCAAGCATTACATACTACCAGCGATGGCCCTCACGAGCAAGAACATGCTGCGCATCGTTGTCAACCAAACGGGCCTTGTCTACGATCCAGTCATGAGGCCGGAGCGAGCGGTTTACGTGTCGTACAGGTGGGTAACATCCCAACTGCTTGCGCTTGTTTTCCGCTCAACTACACACGTGGGTCATTACTCTTGGCGGACATGGAGAATCACGGTGCACTCAAGCTCAGCAGTTCATTGAGGATCGTGTTATACTTTAAACACGCAGCCTCAGCCGCACTTCCCATCCCCTACTTGAATTGTGTACGCAGTGATACTTGACGTTGCTTGCCGCTCTTCCTAATTGACCCATGGGTCGGTTCGGCATTACCTCCATTGCCACGCTTATGCTGCGTAGGGTGCGGCAGGCCCAGGTTGGCACGTACGACTCTGGCCTCAGGGACGAACTCCACAAACGTGTCTGGTAAGCGACTGAATGCACAGCTGCGAATGAGCCTTTCCGGGTCCGTTGTTGTCTTCTTTCCAGTGTTGCCTAAGCGGCGGCGTCCAGAAGCTCGTGACCAATTCGTTCATTTGCTGTGCATCATGTACGGTGTCGTGCTATGCAAAAACTCAAAGCGCCTCGTCACCGTTCATGGCTATGGCGATGCAGGATTCACCAGTACGACGACAGTTACAACGGATTCTCTGGTCAAACCTGCGCCTGGTTGCTGTCGGTGCTGTCGGACGAAGCGAACCAAGTGTACGATGCCTTCGGTCCGCTGTCAAGGACTGCCTTGCTCATGAATGTCGTGGCCCCCAACACCTCCAGCGGCTTGCTGGTGGAGCTGGTGAACAAGACGGACGCAGCTGCCACAGTGCGGCTGTGCGTGTTCAGCGACAAGGCCGAGAACAAGGTTGCTGGCGGCTGCTTCAATGGCATCGATGATGACTGGTGAGGCATGATGGGCGGTGGGCCTGGGAGTTGGGATGCTATCTATCTAGCAGGTTTGCATCCGTCTATTTTCCGCGGACGGTTGGGCCATTACCATCTACTCTACGTACCAATACTAGGGATGGGTGCCTAACAAACCTTTGCAGCATACAGTTAGCTACAAGTTCTGCATCTAACTGCAACGTACTAGGCCGCCTACAGCCCACGGACACCCACTATTATACCGGTAGCATGCAAAGTCACACCCATGCCCCATGCCACCTGCCCCATGCCACCTGCAGCGATGGACTGGCTGACGCCGACGACCCGGACTGTGCCAATAGCGTCCAGCCCGTCACACGCCAGCCGCCTCCGCCACCACCGCCTCCTTCGCCGGCCCCACCGCCACCACCTTCCCCACCGCCGCCACGACCGCCTCCACCCTCGCCGTCCCTCCGGTCCCCACCTCCTCCGCCACCGCCAACGTCCCCTCCGCCACCGTCTCCACCGCTCCCGCCATCACCGCGGCAGTCACCGAGTCCTGCCCCCGCGTCACTGTCGCCACCTCCACAGCCACCACCACCTCCCCCACCGCGACCGCCCTCACCACGCCCGCCTACCCCACCGCCACCACCACCTCAGACGTCATCCCCACCTCCGCCACCACCCCCAAGGTCCCCGTCACCCCCACCGCCCCTGCAATCGCCTCCGCCGCTCCCCCTGCGGTCGCCTCCGCCGCGGCCGCCGCCCCCGTCGAAGCCCAAGAAGTCGCCTCCCCCACCCCCATCCTCACCCCCGCCCTCACCCGCGCCCAGGCCTCCACCTCCTAAGGCCAAGAAGCCCAAGCCCCCTCCGCCCCTGCGTGCCGGAGCCACTGTCAGCTGGGGCCCGAGACCATCATCTAGCGATTACCCTGACTATGAGTAGCGGATCCTGCTCCACGGGAATCATCATGCTACGGCACGCATAACAGCTAGGAACCCCTAGGAGGAATATGTACATAGTAGTGCCACATTGCTGGTGTTGCCGTCAGCAGTTACGTGCTGTTGGCAACAGAACCATCCTTGTACATAGGGTACATACGCTAGGTGTAGCTACTTAGCAATACGGGACTATAGGGAAGCAAGGTTGTAGAATAGTGTCCAACTTGCGTGTTGGAGTAGATGAGCGTAGGAGCCGCACAAGGTCGGTTTGAGGCCTTTGTCGGCAACTGCTAGGGTAGATCATAGCTCGCGTCAGACGTATGGTGTGTCTTGCTGCTGATATTATTCATGGCAGGTTGGGCGCTGCTGTTGCAAATGCATACGCAGCCGCGTAGGTTCCGACTCGCGGCCAGTTGTTTTAACACAGCCGCGCGGCGTTGGATTCCGGTTTGTACATTGGAATGGGGATATGGAGGTAGGTGCATGTGACAGGCTGCTGTCACCCTTGTTATGTGCCTGCCAGAACAAGTCTTGCAAGTCATTCAAGTATCAATTCATGCGTGCCGTGCGTTTGTACAAGGTCAGGATTGTCAGGATGGCTGGAGGGCAGTTTGTGTAGATACCGGTAGGTAGTTGCTGTAGCTTGTAGGGACGCATGCAAGAAGGTCCATGGGTGGGTTAGGTACGGTTAGATCAGACATGTGCCTTCATTGAGCCTTAAGGTACTCAGCTCATTTAAAGACTTCATTTCCAGTGCGCCATTGAGTTTGTGTTGAGCATTTGTTTCTGCCTTGCAGCAGGTGTGGGATGCGTGATGTTCGCTTAGAGCTGGCGACACATGGTGCGGTGCATTTTTGTTTCATCACCGCAAGTGTTTCAGCTCTCAATGGTTGTCGCCAGGCTGCAGATAGTAAAGAAGGTCCCCTTACGGTGTCTAGCTGTTGGCATCATCAGTAACCTTCTATCCCCTTCCCTAACCAATTGTCATCGACTAAGTTGTTTCTATTCCCGGAGCAATCCTACGGATTGCAAAGGGATTAGCGACCCCACCCCACCCTGGGCGTAACAAAAAATTGTCTCCAAACGCCTCGCAAATGGCCGCAGTGGAAAGCAGACAACACACGGTATCCAGCACAGCGCAAACGGACGCAAAAGCCTTTCCAGACCGCACTGAAGGCTTCCAAAATATGCCGTACAAAAGACACCCAAAAGCCTACGCAACATATACAACAGCAGCAACAAGCACAAAAAAAATAACACAATAAGGAAGAAGCAACGCAAGAAGGGAACCGCGTTGTCCTTATTGTGGAACCAGTGGAACCTGTTTGTCCTTATGTCCCAACATTGACACATAAGGACAAACAGTAAAACAACAGTAACAACCAATACCATGCCACCGGAACACACATAAGTCAAGCAAGGCCGGAGGGCGTTGTGAACAGCAACGGGCCGCAGATTGCAATGGCCGACAGTTCCGACGAAGACTATGACCCTGACGAGGAGCGGCGGCGTAGAGAAAGAGAAAGGATGCGAGCATGGAGGGCATCTCGCACCGCCGAGCAGCGGGAAGCAATCCGGCAGCGCCAGAACCAGAGGCAACGAGCAGCAAGCCAGGCACAAGCAGTGGAGCCACAGCAAGGCAATGCAGCAGCAGCCGAAGCACAGGCAGAGGCCGTGCAACAAGCCGTCGAGGAGGCATGCGGGCTCCCACCGGTGGGCAGCATAGTGCGCCACAGTAACAACCAATACCATGCCACCGGAACACACATAAGTCAAGCAAGGCAATGGCCGACAGTTCCGATGACTATGACCCTGAAGTGGAGCGGCGGCGTAGAGCAACAGCAAGGGTGCGAGCTTGGAGGGCAGCACGTAGCCCAGAGCAATGTGCAGCTAGAAGACAGCGTGAAAACGCAAGGCGGCAAGCAGCAAGGGCAGCGGCTTAGGAAGCGGGGGCCGCATTCGGACTTCCACCAGCGGGCAGTATGGTGCGCCAGGTGCTGGAGCTCATGTTCCTAACACCGAGCGAACCAACACGGGGTGGGGCCAGAAACACCAGCAGAGCACTCCCAATCTCCCAAACAACGCCAACAACAAAACACATAGAACAAAAGAAGCAACAGGGAAACTACAAAACGTTAAGAAAACAGGTCCGCGACCACCAATCCACACGGGAAACGGGAACACAGAAAAACCAAAAACAAGCGAAAAAAAGACAGCGGGATAAACGGGACAAACAGCGGGATAAACACAAACCAATCAAGGCAGGTGGGCGTCGTCAACAGGAACGGACAGCAAACCAATGGCCGACAGTCCGGAAGACGAAGACTATGACCCAGGAGGTGGAGCGGCAGCATAGAGCAACAGCGAGGGTACGAGCATGGAGGGCATCCCGTACTGTCGAGCAACGTGCAGCGATAAGGCAGCATGCTGACAAGCACCAAGGGGGGCCCAAACCCAAGACAAAGCAGGTAGGGAAGGGCAAGACAACGCAGCTGCAGCCCGTGCAGAAGCAGATGAAGCAGAACAAGCCGCTGAGGAGGCAGTCGGACTCCCACCAGTGGGCAGTATAGTGCGCCAGGTGTTGGAGCTCATGTTCCTAACACCAGACCAACATGGTGGGGGGCCGGATACACCAGCAGAGCAGGTTCTATGCGGGCCAGGTGGTACAGCAGCAGACGAACGGGCAGTCGCAGTAGGGGCAGGGGTGTTCACAACAGTTCTGCAGCAAGCACTCTACAAGCAGCGTTCAGGCGGCATGCACCCACGGCGGTGTGCACGGATGGATACTGCAGGCCACCAGATCTTGCCCCGTGCAGCCCTGGGCAGCAGTATGCCCACTGTTCCAGGTGGTGCGTGCCGACATTGGATGGACAGAGGAGGTCTCGCGTGAGTGACACACGTTCTGGACGCGCCCTGTGGCAGAAGGGGAGGCCAACACGCCTCCGCCATGGCCGCCTCCACAAGCAAAAGGCCATCGACCAGGCCAGGGTGCACATCAGGCCAAGCAGGGTGCGTATACAGAAGCAGTGGACATGGGGGATGGCGACGAAGGAGGCTGGGATTTCTGGCTGTGCGCCGCCGTGAAGTGCAGCAAGCCAACGCAGAAGTGGACGCCGCAGTAGGGGGCATGGATGAGGAAGAGCCCTCAGACACCCAGGAAGCAGAGGAGGACGAGAAAAGTGTCGTGCAGCAAGGCCGGGGCCACCGGGGCCTGCAGCAACAGGCAGCAGCATCAAACCCAACACCCGCACCCGCAGACACAGTCATGTACATCATGTGGGCTCTGGTCGCAGGCAGAAGCCTTTCGGCAACGGGAGGTGGAGCGGCTGAGAGCACACCGGCGGACGAGGTTACTGCAGCAAGCAAGGAGTAGCCGCACTACAGGCAGAAACAGAACGGCGACACGCAGCCCGGCAGGCACAGACCGGCACGGAGGCCACCACAGGACGCCAACAAAATGCTGCAGCACACGCAACAGCTCGCAGGCAAGCCGTGCAGCAAAGCAAGCAGCAGACCAGGTAGCAGGAGTACCTCCTGCCCGTAGTTTTGTGGGCCTGATGATGAAACACATGTACCTAACACTTGGCCAGAACAGTGTGGAGCCAGATACACCAGCAGAGCAGGTTCTGGCCAGGTGGTGCAGCTGCAGACAAACGGGCAGTCCCAGTAGGGGCAGAGGGCTTCACAGCATTTCTGCAGCAAGCACTAGGGCCACAAGCAGCGTTCCGGCGGCATGCACCCACGGCGGTGTGCACGGCGTGTGGATGCTGCAGGCCACCAGGTCGGTACCCCCTGCGGCCCTGGACAGCAGTGCACCCACTCTTCCAGCTGCATCGCGCCGATATTTGGTGGAAAGAAAAGGTTCCACGTGGTTGACGCGCCCGTTGGCAGTCGGGGAGGCCTGGACACCTCCGCCATGGTCTCCACCACGGGCACAAGGCCAGCGGACAACCCAGTGGGCCCAGCAAAACAACCATGGAGTTCCGGCTGAAGCAGAGGATGCAGAAGAGGAAGATACTAGAGATGTACAGGCTGCACACCTCTGCCAACAGCAGCAAGCAATTGCCAAAGTGGAGGAAGAAGAGTACACAGGCACCCGGGAGGTAGATGTTGAACAAGGCCACGACCGCCAAGCCAGCCAACGCAACAATAAAAACGCACGCAAAGGAAACAGGACTTCACCAAACAACGCAGCAATACGACAACATACGACACCCATACTTACACGCAAAACAAACACTAGCGAAAATACAATGAAAAACCACTAACACATTGCTCCGGGCAGCGTAACGCAGTGGAGCGGTTCATGTATGTTGATTGTTTTCAATTAAACTGCACATATGGACAGACAATCAATTCAGTATTGTGAGCCCGCCCATTGTAACGTACTGTACTCCAAACATGACGCATGGCATTCTCCTCGCAATTTTTCAATTCATCGGAATGCATAAATACCAAGCAACAAGTAATCTCGATGCACTTTACATCGTAAACTTCCACTGACTCCGTTTGCCCGGATATTACGGTAATGCTTAACGCCATTCGCATGAGGGATGGGTAAGCACCTCAAGTCTTGGTACGTCTTCATCGGTCGCCACAATGGCAATGTCGTGGTCATGATACCGATACTCTTCTGGGCCCTACAGCTAGATAACTTGTCGTACCGCAGACGGCTAGCTGTTACAAAAAGGCATTCAACATTAGGAGGTATACATCATTACAAGTGACATATAGATACTCGGCTTCGAAGAAGGATACCTATCGTCGCCCTCGGTTCCGTCGGACCATCCTGGCTGTCGATTAGCTGAGCTGACCTCCTAAGCAAGACGCCAATCTTCCATAGCCAGCTGGCGTCGGAAAGACACGTATCGAGAACATATTCTACCAAGAGTTATGCGCTTGGTTTGACGATTTAGGATAGGTGCTCAATTCCCCGGTACTTCGGCTGAACTTCTGCGGACCCCAGGAGCCTAGCCTCATGACGCTTCTACAGCGAACTATTGATGCTTTCCTGATATCAGTATTCCTGCTGTTGGTCGCCGGTGAGTTAGAGTGCCCTGCGCTACCCTTCGCCATTGCATGCAACACATGTCACAGGAAGTTGGCAGAAAGCCAACCAGAAGCCTTGCCCAAACCTATCAGTGCTGCAAGCTTATATATTAATACAAGCCGTTAGCTAACGCCTGGCCTTTTAGTGAACGGCAGACTCCTACTTGTTGCGGATTTAACGATGGAAGCTCCTCAGACTGTGGCGCCGACAGGTACGCAATTTGGACTGTGTCATAACGAGCCCTGTCTGCATGCCCCGCCGCACAGGTTCATTGGTGCAGCCGGCAGCGGGGGCTACTGCTGCATCTCAGGCAAACCTGGCAACGCAGTCGCTGCCAGTGGCGCAAGTCAGCGTCGTCGTTAAGGGTAAGCCTCGTTTGTAATCAGGTTGCTGTGTCTTTCCTGTTTGGACTTAGTTACCTCAATGACCTCATGCATTCGACGTTCCTCATGTTGACCGAGGTGCAATACCGGTACTCCCAGGCGGCAATTTGCCCTTGCCTTGGCGGTACATGTTGCGTCAAGATTTGCGTTTTGGCCGACAGCCCATTATCCATACATGCTACTCGCGTGTGTGTAATTGACGGATCCCATATTGGCTGTATAATCCTGTCTTCAGGCGAGATTGTTGTCACCTCTGTGGACCCGATCAGGGGCAAACCAGCAGCGCCTGTGAACCCCACGTCCGTGCTCCTGCAGCCCGGTTTCTTGTACCAACTGGTAGATAGGCTTAGCGACGGCACTCCGGTTTCGGTTAATCTCGATTTTGACAGCCCACCGTCTCTAAGCACTGGAGACCTGGTGGCGCTTCCGCTGACGATCACTGTGCCTTCGGATGCTGGTGAGTGGGATGCCTTTACGCGGAAGGATTGTCGGCAAAAACGATTGAAGCCATTATTTGCCCACAAGCATGCATGGCATTGTTTATCCTTGCAATGCCGATAGCCCTGGTAACCTGCACTGCTGGTAACCTTCACTACCCTGTCCTGTCCACATAAACATGCCTATCTTCACCCTTTACCCAGCCGCCAAGATCACCACCGATGTCAGCCCCAGCACCCCTAGCAGCAGCCGTCGGTTGCTTAGGGGGCAATTGAAATCTCAAGCAGCGGGCAGCAGGATGGCTGCTGCCGGCGTGCCGCAGGATGAGGAGGCGCGTCGGCGCTTCTTGGCTGATACCGCCCTGCCCCTCAGCAGCCTTGTCAGCACGCTGGGAAGTGCAGGCAGCAGTAGCAGCGGACTGAGCGCCAAGTCTGTGGGGGCCGCTACAGTTCTTGGCAGTACAGTCGCAAAGGTTGGTAGCGGTGGGGCTTAGCAAAGCTTCCGGTGAGGCGATGTCGGTCTATGACCCATGGGTCGCTGCGGCTGACTGTGGCTCGTTTGAGGAGAGAGTGCAGTAGAGAGTGGCGGTGTTTTACCACATGGACCGACGACGTAAGCACAAGGCTGACTCGTACCCAAAGCTTTACACTACCTTCCGAAACGCATGGCTATTATTAGGCATCTGTACGTCCACCTCAACCCCATGTAGGGTGTGGTCATGCCAACAGCTGGCGTGCCCCAGAACGTCTCCTCGCTTACCTTCTTGTTCCGGAGCAGCAAGTGCGGCATCCGCACCGCCATGGACCTGGCCCGCCTCAAGGACAACTGGTACGACCAGGGGGACGACGCGGCCTACGTGGCAACCATGGAGCGGTACCACAAGGTGGGGCACGGCAGGGAACTGACCCCAAGCAACTGAGGGCGGTATAAATGCGACCCTTCCAGAAGTCGGGTTGTGCGCATGTCTTAGCTCTAGAATTGCTAGGGTATCCTAGTAGTAGGTACCATCTACTGATTTAATGAGCCGTTCGCAGCTTCGCAGTATAAGCAGCTTATACCTAGACATGCATGTCTTAACCTTTGGGACAAGCATATGACCGTACATAACGTATGAATGCAGGTTTGTACATACAATCAGCTGCTCTTTCCTCCATCGCTCAACCTGGCGTTTGAAGTGGACATCGATTGCAAGGGCAACTACACGGACGTGGCGGGAAGGCAACAGCCGTACGATTTGTTCAACGGCAAGGGCAACGGTTTAGACCTGGCTAATGAGCTGGCTGCACTTGCCTACTTTGGAAAGCAGTACGTCCAACAGGTATGCCATACAAATGCCTACAATATAAAGTCACACGTGACATGAGGGACTGTGCTGTTGCTTTGTGAGGCCGCCGCAACGAAATTCACTTGCGCTAAGGATTGGGTAAACATATTGGGCCTCAAAGCTGAGCATGCCGGTTTCAACTTCCTTGATGCGCCCTGCCCTGTATGTCCTGTTCCGCAGAACTACCCGGACGTCTACAGCCGCTGGAGCTCCTACCGGCGCAAGATTCACTTCTGGCCCTTCAATTACGGCAAGACGCCTGACCAGTGGATCATGTACGCCTCGGGACTGGTAGGTTTTAGTACCGGTAGTGTCGTACGGTAGCGTAACCTGCGCATGAACGCATGCGTTGCATGTTGCTTGTGTTTGGAGCCACCCTGCATGAGGTCAGGGTAGGAGCGTCGCCAGCTGATGTGATTGATAGATGTATAGCGCACCACAATCATGCCAGCAAAATGGCAAACATGCTGACAAAGTTTTGGTACGGTTGCCGCTTGCAGAGTACCGTTGGATGCCTGCTAACAGCTAGCACCGACTGTAACATCTGGATGAACCCAGATCAAAATGACGTCAAGCCCGACATGGCCAACGTCTTCCACGAAATGGGTACGTACGTGTAGACCTGGTGCAGCTAGATATGGTAGTTGGTTGCTGGTGAGGTTGATCCTCTCCGCTGCGTGGCTTGCACAGGCATGACGAAAGGTAACGCGCGCGGCCCCTGTACCAAGCAACGGTATACCTTTATCTAGCCTGTCCTTTCCTAATCAAGCCTCAACCCAGTCGGATACCGGTCCGCGTATATGGTCCAACCAACTAACTTTGCCTGTTTCCGGTTACTCCATTACTGCCGTACCTGCGGCCTGCCTGGCGTTCCGCAGGCCACCTGCTGGGCCTCCAGCACTCCAATTCCTGGCAATGCGACGCCTCGGGTGCTTGCTCCTCGGTTCCCTACGGAGATACGTCGGACCCCATGGGCATTGCTGACCAGATTGATCCTGACAAGACGATCACATGCATGTCAGCGCCGCAGGTGGGTTGCTGGGTTCTGGGATACTTACCTAGGCTGCCTAATAGGTTTGCTTAGCGCATCTTGCATGGTATGCCTAATGGATATGGAATTACGCATCTGCGGACTGGAAACAAAGACGGAACTGTCGGTTCTTAGGGTGACCGTATCCTTGCTTTGCCGACCTTGCTATCGTACATACAGGTATACAAGGCGGGGTGGGGTTCGCCGCTGGCCGGAGGCTCCTTCAATGTTACGGACCTGGGCGTGGGTGTGTCCAAGCATTACGTGCTACCAACGATGGCCCTGACCAACAAGAACATGCTGCGTATCGTTGCCAACCAAACCGGCCTTGTCTACAATGCAAACACCAAGCCAGAGCGCGCCGTGTACCTGTCGTACAGGTGCGTGCGATGTGGCGTTTGCAAGGGGTTCGTGGGGTAACAGGTGTGCCCCACTTCATGACGGAATATGGAAAGGTGCATACCCGTACTTGCGTCAGCCGGCTGGCAATCGACTTATCGCGGCTGAGAACGTGCTGTCCAATTTAACAACAGGCGAGCAACCACTCATTCGTGCCTCCTTCATTGCCAAATGGATTCTTGACTGGGTGCCCGGTTCCACCTCTCGTTTTGGTGACCTGCTGGTCACATCCGCCAACGGCCATGTTGTGCAGGGTACGGCAGCCACAAGTTGGCGTGGACGATTCCGGGCTCAGAGATGACCTTAACAAGCGTGTCTGGTGAGCAGCACGTAAATAGCGGCAATAGAACTGCTCATGCCTGTTACCCAACTCATAGTGTTCCCTCAGTCCTCTTACCGTGCCAAGATATGTTTGAAGCAATCCATGGGGCCCCGAACGTTGCCTACTTGCCTTGCCTGTCGTCCACCTCAACATGCATGCACTGCATGAATTGTTACCGTTACCTGCCGCAGGATCCACCAGTACGAAGACACCTATAACGGTTTGTCAGCGGAGCGCTCCCCGCTGCTCATTGCCGTACTGTCCGACGAGCCGGATCAAACGTACGACAGTTGGGGCGTACTGCGCAGAAACGCCTCACTCCTGAACGCCACGGCGCCCGGCGGCCCAGGCGGCTTGCTTGTGGAGCTGGTGAACAAGACGGACGCAGCTGCCACGGTGCGGCTGTGCGTGTTCAGCGACAAGGCCGAGAACAAGGTTGCTGGCGGCTGCTTCAATGGCATCGATGATGACTGGTGAGGCATGATGGGCGGTGGCCTTGAATACAATCCGCTAGGCCGCAAGTTCCCAGTACATGCCGCTCAGCGGGCCTTTACCGGTATCAATCCCTTATGACCCCCCATGCCACCTGCCCACCTGCAGCGATGGACTGGCTGACGCCGATGACCCGGACTGTGCCAATAGCGTCCAGCCAGTCACACGCCAGTCGCCTCCGCCACCACCACCACGCCAGCCCTCACCACGACCGCCACCACCACCTCCTTCCCCACAACCTCTCCGCTCACCTCCACCCTCGCCACCACCACCATCGCCGTTCCCTCGACCGCCGCCGCCGCCCCCGTCGCCAACCCCGCGGACTCCACCTCCTTCATCCCGACCACCTCCCCCACGACCACCACCTCCCCAACCGCCATCGCCGCCTCAACGGTTACCACCACCGCCGCCTCCGCCGCTACGACCTCCACCCTCGCCCCCTCCGTCCCCGCCACCACTCCCACCGCCAAAGACCAAGAAGCCGCCACCAGTACGCCCTCCTCCGCCCTCGCCTGCACCCCCGAAGCCACGGAAGAAGCCCCCGCCACCCCCCGCCATGGGCGCTACCGTGAACTGGGGAACAGGGACAGAAGACTATTCAAACGATGACTAGCTCCCATGCATGGAGCGAGGTGGTATGCAGATAAATGCTGTACATAAGGACCCGCACATGCGGGTAAGCTGGCGGTAATGACCGCTGTTTTGTAGATACGGTAATGTGCATGCAGGCACCGATAGTGAGCAAATAGGCAGCAGTCATTAGTGGGATTTGTAGCAATCTTTCACATTATGTTTTCGTTTGTAAGGAGGAAAAGGCATGGGGCTAACGATGCCTGATCGGTCATCAGCGACCCCGCCTAACAATTGTGGGCGCACGTGCGCAGCGCGCAAAGTGTTATACATAACGTGTCATGGAGGTTGTGATAGCGGTAGGCTGGACGGCAGTTATAGCTAGTACAGAATCACTTGCGCGTCGCATACGGTAACGCAAGCACCAGCGCTAGGGCCATGCATGTGCTGTACATAGCGGTGCGGCCTCAATATGTGGTAGACCAGCAGGGTCAACCAGTGTGGGCAAAGTATATATGCTTTTGAAGATAGAGCTGTTTGTTGGTGGTGCGTGCGTCTGCTCTGGATGCGTGCCTTGTCGCATAGGGTGTGTGGAAAGTCTGTGTTTAGGGGCGCACATGCACTAAACGACCCATGGGTCACATGGCGCGGCCTTTCTGTGCAGGAAATCCGTATCCAGCAGGATGGGTTGGGAATTATATAGACATGCGCAAGTGGTGCATCTGTGGCAACACTCCCGCGGGACACGCGGGCGGTGGGACACCCCAAAATTTTTCGCTTGTGTCAAGTGATGCCCACCCCCGGTGACCGTCTAATTGACCAGGACTAGTACAAGCAGCAGTGTGGCACGCGGCGCCCGTGTGAGGACGAGGCTACCGCGCTTCTGTCCCTTCCCTTATGGCTAGGGTGTATGCGACCGCAAGCTAGGGCTGTGACCTAATGCGGCGCCCTACCGTATGTGTACGGTATGGTTGTATCTATTTAAGATCGAGATGCGGAAGCGAGCGGAAGTAAACTATATGTCGAGATATAACGCAAGCGGAAGCGTGTATGGCGTAGGCTATGACCTACTTGTTCTGGGCTATGATGCCGGCTGGGACTGCAGCCCGACGGCACCACCCACCTGCTCCTCCTTAGAGGGTTGCTGACCCGCCAGGCCCTTGCCGAGGTGGACTGAGAAGGGTGTCAGACCTGGGCTGGAGAGGGTTTGTATAACCACTGGGGCATAGACTAGGCCAGGGGGTTAGCGTATAAGTCCGAGGGTAGGATAAGAGTGAGAGAGACCTATGCAAGTAAACCCTATCGTGTACGACTGACGAGTCGTACCAGGTGTACGGACCGTTATGGGTTGTTGACCGTTAGAGTAGCCGACTACCTAAAGACTTAGCAAACTGATACGGTTGTAGGCGTACAGTATAACAACCTAGCTGCTGTGTAAGAGTAAGCTGTAATGTACGGCTGACAGGTCGTATTGAGGCAAACCGCTGCAGTTGGGTAACTAACTAGCTAACCACCTAACCGCTGACGGTTAGCGTCTAAGTGCGCACCCAAACACGGTACGGTATTTCAGAGAAGGACTCAAGGCTAGACACAGGCTCAGGAATGCCAATGCGGACCCTATCTAAGGCTGGATTGGCAAAGCACGAGGCTGCAGGTAATAACCGCTGGTATTTAGGTATGTAACAGACAGTAACGAACCGTATAACTGCCCAGGCAGGGCAGTGCTTGACGTCCAGACACGAAAGGTCCTTCCAGTCTCGACGTGTGTATCTTACACGGAGATAGGTCCGAGTCCAAAGTCCATTGGTTGGAAGCTTAGTCCAGAAAGAGGGTTAAGGCTACCCAAACCGACCCCAGCCGGCGTTTAGGCCACTTTCAGCTGTAAAAGGTCCAGAGACAAGAAAACTACGCCCTTTTATACTAATTCAAAACCCCGGTGAGCCAAAAACCGGCCACCGTTGACCACAACCGACCAACAAGCCGTTACCCCGCTGAGAAGCAGGAAAACACGCTCAGCGAGGCGCTACTCACTGGGACCAACGAATTCCCACTGACACTGGCCTCTCTGAGCCAATCGTCCCAACGGAAACCCCGCTGAGCCTCCGCTTCCTGGCCCGCTGACCCAAAACCGTCAACCGACCCATGGGACGACAGTGTCGAACTCGCCCCATGCCAGGTCGCCTGTTCAAGCCCTTCCCCAAGCAGCGCCGGCATGTTCAAAACCACGCCGCAACCAAACCCGTAGCCCCCAATAAGTGGGACTACAGCTACAAACTCATCCGCCGACAAATGGGTAAACACACAAAAGTGTAAACCCAACCTATCATGCCACAACTGTGGCAACACTTCCTCCGCCTGCGCTGGACGACCCCTGTCCAGCCCCCTCGCCACGTACGCGGAAACATCATGAGCGTACCGAGACGGCAAGACGAGCCGCGATAATATTCATGAATTATCCAAGCACGTTAGCACTCTGCAGTACGATCGACGACGCAACCTGCACAAGGCCGCCGCTCAACAGGTGCACGATTTTAGTACTAGCCATGTACGTGGTCAGCAAGGATGCTGCCATGATCAATGTAGCCGAACGCAATCAAGACTTGTAACGTAGCAGCCATGTACGTGAACCATACCGGCTAAACGGTCAAGGCATCGAGACTTGAAGCAAATATGCTTATGAATTGTACTTGCTGTGAGTTCTAGGCATCGAGACAGATAGGAGGTCTATGCATTCAAGACCCCGGCATCGAGACGTAACTAAGCATGATCATGGGATGTACTGGCTATTAGTTCAAAGCATCGAGCCCAGTAGGAGGCATCGAGACATGCACGGCAGCATAACCGCCGCAAAGCGTACCAGCCACACCACAAACCATATCGTCCCAATCTTTTTGGTGCGCACGGCCCCAGCAAACGGGCCGCCGCTGGGTTGCCCATCGCTGACAACACCTTGGCTCCCCTGTGCCGTAAGACTGACCAATGCAGCCCGCAGCGCCCGACGCCCAGCTGCCGCTGCCGCCGCTGTTGCCGCCCTCGCGGTGAGGACACCGCTTGCGCCCAGCTGCAGGAAAGCTCCTGCCGGATGCACTCCAGCTAGTTAAGCTCCAAGCCAGCGCCGTGAAGCGAAACGCTTCGGCAAGTGCAGCGACTGCGCCTCGCCTTGCTGACCCACGGGCCGAAAATTCTCCGCTGCTCCACGGCCGCGGCGAAGAGCTGAAGCTCCGTAGACAATACTGGCGTTGAGTAGAAGAAGATAACAGCAGCCGCGACGTCGCACCGCGCTGAAAAGCACAGGCTCCGAAGCGCTGTACGATCTTACGTCGAATGGCCTCCACTTGCCAGGGCTGCTCCCGGCGAATACTTCGCTATAACGGAAAGACGATGATATTCACAACTGACTGTAGCAACCGGAACTGGCTGTTTTGAAGTTGCTGGCCTCGCTGCCCTGCCAGAAGCTTAGCGAACGTTGTCCGCTGATTGAAGATCCGCTGCGACTGAAATATAGAGCTAATCCTCGCGTACTTGGAGCCCAAATCCAGCCCAAACGTTAGGCTACCAGCACCTGATCGGCTGGTACGGAAAACAGCTTGCCGTCCTGCATCTTGAGGAGCGCCATGGTGCCTGACTCATGCCAGCAGTAGAAGCCGTATGGACCTTCTCGATCAGGCCCCAGCTTGCTGCTGCGGCGAAGACGGCGGTAGACCATCGCGTTCTCGGGTAGGTTGGGCAGGTGGCGTAGGACCTCAGTGTCCTCCACCTCGCGTACCGCAGGCTGCACAGCTGGGACGGAATCATGGGTTGCAGTCTCCGTTTGAGTGGCAGCATGGCTGCGCCGAACCGGCGTCGCCACCGCCCCTGCTGCCGCCGCCGCGGTTGCCGTTGTCTTTGCCGTAGCGGCTGCCTCCCTGGCAGCCCTCTTGCGAGGTGCCTCCCTGCTTTGCTGCCGCTGCTGCTCCGCTGCTGCCCGTGCCTGCTGCTGCCCCGAGCCAGTTGCTGCCACTGACTTCGGTGCCTCCCCCGCTGCTGCATCTCCCGCAGCGCCGTGACTTCCATCACCTCGCGGCTTGGCCTGCTGGCGCACGGATGTCAGCAGCACGGGCTCCTTAGGTAAGCTGGGAATGGGTACCGAGACGGTCGGTGCGGTAGGCGCAGACGCCACTACTGCGGCTGCCTCCGGTCGGACCGCTGCTGCCGCCCGACCTGCCGACCCGGTTCCTGCCATGCGGCCGCCTGCCTCCCGAGCCTTGTTCGGGGGCCGCCGCTGAGCATGCTGCCGAATGTTACGCTCCTGCGCCGCCGCGATGTTAGCGTTAACGCGCTGTGCCAGTGACTCCAGCTCCTGCTGTCGCCGCTGCAGCGCCTCGTAATCCGTAGGCCCAAAGCCCTCCTCCTCCGATTCCGCTGTTACCGTCGCTGCCGCCAGTGGCGCGGCTGCGGGACGCTCCCCCAGAACTGCTAGCTCCCGGCCGAAGAGGCACATAGCCGGGCTAACCCGGGTGCTATCCTGCCGCGCAGCGCGATAGCTGTACGCTGCCTGGTGAATATGCGTATCCCAGTCGTCCTCCTGGCCGTTAACCATCTTGCGAAGTGCCTCCGTCATGACGCCGACCAGCCGCTCCACCTGGCCGTTGCTCTGCGGGGTGTAGGCGGCGGTCTTGCGGTGAAGGATGCGCTGCCGTCCCAGCAGCGCCGCAAACTCGCCTCCCCACTCGTTGCCGCGGTCCGTGACGACGGCGTCCGGCGTCCCATAGCGCGTAATCCATTGCTCCCAGAACCAGGTGGCCGTGGTGGCAGCCATCTTGTCCGGGATGGCCCCAACCTCGGGCCACTTAGCCCACGCGTCAATGGCGAAGATAGCGTAGACGTTGCCGCGCCCCGTCTTCTTCAGTGGCCCCATGAGGTCCAGGTGCACGCGCCCGAAGAGAGGCACAATGGGTAGCGGCCGCAAGTCGTGCCGCCGCAACAGCTTGAACTTGCCTGCCCGGCACCGTTCGCACTGCTTGATGTAGCTGCTAACATCCCTCCGCATAGAAGTCCAAAAGCACCGCTGCCGCAGCAGGTCGCAGGTCTTGCCGACACCTGCATGGCCCAGCTCGTGCGTCGCCTTGATTGCTGCCTGCCGCTCTGCGAGCGGCGGCACTCGGACCCAGCCTTGGCCCGTTGCCTTGTACAGCTGACCGTCCTCCCAGCGGTAGTTGCGAGCCCGCTTCCTCACTCGCCTCGTCTCATTGAAGTAAGCATTGCCCGTCATGTTGGGGACAGGCCGCAAGTCCTTAGTCTGCAGTAGCTCCAGCAAACTAGCGTCCGCCCAGGCATCCGGTTGCAGGGTGCGATGGGCACCGCGCCCGCCTGAGGCTGCTGCTGCTGGGGCCTCACGATCGCTGCCGCTAGATGCTGTAGCCTCCTCACCGCTTAACCACGAGGGTTCGGTGTCCGAATTAGCCGCATGCTCCTCGCTGCTAGCCGCTGCTGACGCCGAAGACGGAGAAGACTCCGACGTGCTGAGTGGCCGCTTCCGCATGGGGATACGTGGCGCCACCGCCGCATGCATGGGGCAGATCCACGGCCCCGCCGGTACTGCGGGTAACGGCGGGTCCAGGCAGTGCACATGCCACGCCAGCTGACAGTCCGGCTCATCACACAGCAGGAGTGTACTGGAGGGCTGACCGCTGCCGCAGACCACGCACACCAGCCCCGGATCAGGATCGGTACTGGGTGACGAAGAGGGTAGCGGCTCCACGTACTCCCGCAGCTGCGTGTTGACCTGCCGTAGGCGTGCAGGTCTTGGGTCGCTAGGGCCCGCTGCCGCCGGATCGTACACTGGCTCCGCTCGCGGCTGCTCCTCCTGTCGCCGAGGTTGCACAGGTGTTGTTGCAGCGGTGTATGGAACGGCGCCGCCGTTCCTCCGCCTAAGCTGTTGCTCCGCCGGCGATTGCTGCCCCTGCGCTGCCGGTGTAGCCTCCCACATGCCGTCAGTCATGAGTAACTGCGGCGATTCATCTGACCGTGCGTCTACCGTGGCCTGCGCCTCCTCCGGCTCCTGCTGCTCCGTGTTGCCTGCAGCGGCGTATTCCGCCGCCGGCAGAAGGTGCCCCAAGCGGCTGAGGCCGTCCACGTTGCCATTGCGCCGCCCTGCCTTATGCACTACTTCAAAATCGTAGGCCTGGAGCTTGAGCGCGTACCGAGCGAACTTCCCATGGAGATCCCGGGCGCCTGCCGTGCGGATGAAACGTACGGCCGCCGAGTCAGTGAACAGCACGAAGTGCGTGCCGTACACGTAAGGGTGGAAGTGCTTGATGGCCCAAACCGCTGCGAACGCCTCGCCGTCCGCGCTGCTGTAGTTAAGCTGAGCTCCTGACATCGCCTTGCTAGCGAAC